CAGTGTTTGAACCGTTGGATGCACATGGTCCTCCAAAATGGTTCGGTAGTCCTTGGCAGTGACGTGCCCATCTAGCACAAGTATGGGGCCAAGGGAATACCATGATATGACAGCCCAAACCATCACTGATCCACCCCCATGCTTCACTCTGGGCATGCAACAGTCTGGGTGGTACACTTCTTTGGGGCTTCTCCACACCGTAACTCTCCCGGATGTGGGGAAGACAGTAAAGGCGGACTCATCAGAGAACAATACATGTTTCACATTGTCCACATCCCAGGATTTGCGCTCCTTGCACCATTGAAGCCGACGTTTGGCATTGGCACGAGTGACCAAAGGTTTGGCTATAGCAGCCCGGCCGTGTATATTGACCCTGTGGAGCTCCAGATGGACAGTTTTGGTGGAAACAGGAGAGTTGAGGTGCACATTTAATTCTGCCATGATTTGGGCAGCCGTGGTTTTATGTTTTTTGGATACAATCCGGGTTAGCACCTGAACATCCCTTTCAGACAGCTTCCTCTTACGTCCACCGTTAATCCTGTTGGATGTGGTTCGTCCTTCTTGTTGGTATGCTGACATTACCCTGGATACCGTGGCTCTTGATACATCACAAAGACTTGCAGTCTTGGTCACAGATGCGCCAGCAAGACGTGCACCAACAATTGGTCCTCTTTTGAACTCTGGTATGTCACCCATAATGTTGTGTGCATTGCAATATTTTGAGCAAAACTGTGCTCTTACCCTGCTAACTGGACCTTCACAGTCTGCTCTTATTGGTTCAATGTGCAATTAATGAAGATTGGCCACCAGGCTGGTCAAACTTAGCCATGAAACCTCCCACACTAAAATGAGAGGTGTTTCAGTTTCATTGTCCAACCCCTGTATATAGACAAACACATTAGATTACATTCTCCCGTTTCCCTAAATCCTTATCTGCCTGTAAAACTTCATCAACGTTTAACGGGAAAAAAAGAAAATATGTCTTACTGGGACTACGAATGCGTTTTTTGTGGGATCAGATCAGTATGATTATCTTGGCCAAAGACTCTTCACTACCAAAATGTGTTTTCTTTGCTTAGCTGTAGGACTTTGAACTGACCACAATCCTCCTTCCCATTTCCTCCAGGGTGTCCTCATGGCTCTGGTTAGCAAGCTATTTTGTTGCCATGTCAATAAAGATGATGGATGCTAAATGGCAGGTCACATTGGAAGCAGATAAAAATGGTGTTGAGTCACATTTGAGAAATGTGACTCAAGGCTGTTTCTGTGTTGTTCTGTGTTATCTCCAAAGAGAATGTTTGACCACGGTAAAATTGAGCAGCGTGGCAAACACGTGTTTGTAATGCAGACGGGTCAGTGTGTTAACAATACACATGTGTAATTGTCTGAATTGCTTTAAATAAATACTGAATGGGTGCATCTATAGGACTACGGGTTCATGTACAGTTGGTCCGTTCAGACCTCCAATGTATCTGTTTATTTGCAGAAATACTTAAAGTGGTGAAAGGATCCACTTGCACACATAGAGGCATTAATCATTCATGATAACACGGATGAAAGAAACTATTTCTTAACATTAGTGTTGAGATACCCACCCCCTTCAAAATGTTACCACAGCACTATTCCAGCTATTTCGGCTCTCAAAGGGAAATCCCTTGGACCCTGAGGCGATTACACTTCATGATTTTGAATGCTCCTTAATCAAGATTTATGAATGTGCAGCACCCTCGCGAAGTCAACATTGAGCACCACTGTCGATCGGTAACAGATGCTCTTTGTGCAGAGGCTAATAGTGCCAAAGGGGGGGACTCGGAGAGACAAAAAGACATTTTTAGTGAGTCACTTTAAGACTAAACAGGTCATGTGGATTTGAAACGATGGGGGTGAGCGCTTCATGTAAAAAAACTTCCAGTCGGTCTAACGTTAAACTGAAACAGTCTTTTTTTATCTTGTTTATACACAGTCGCAAATATTTATTAAGCTCTCTTGGATCAAACAGAAAGCATATTTGAATTTCACTTTGGAGTGGATTTCAAGCTCAAGGCAAGCCAAGTTTGCAAAAAAAACAAAAAAAACATTAGCAGAGTGTATTCAAAATTATGTTTAGTGTCAAATCCCTGGAAACTGTGCCTCAAACAAACAGATCCAAGGACAGCTACAGACATTTAGAAAATCATCCATCCCCTCTGTTTCTACCAAACCCCTTTTTCTTGACCCTGAACTTAATGTGTTCCTTTGTCAACTTGCAAAAACCGGGATTGTGTATTTTTTCAAATTTTCTCAGTGCTATAAACACAGTTTAGTAATTTCTATTAAGAAGCAAGATGGAGGGAGCTGGAGTTGACTTCCAGCTGACTTATTGACCGCAGACTACCTTAAAAGAGTAGTTGAGGATCTCTGTCTGTGCGACCGATTGGGTGGTTCGCAGAACCGGGAGGATCCTCAGGGTGCAGCGCTCGGACACACAAACAGCCGTCACCTCGAGAAGCTCTCCGAGGACACGGCCATAACTGGATGTGGGTTGTAGAGGAATGAGAAGCAAGCTCATTAAAGCCTTTGCCAGCTGGTGCTCAGTAAACCCACCCTCATATAAACAGCAGCAACGCAAAAGGAGACAGTTTCTGTGCTGTGTGGTCTGCCGGGGCGGTGGACGCACAAAGCAGGTCGTGCGTCCACTGAGGAGAGGTTATTAAGCCACGCCGGCATCAGTCATGGACAGCATCTCTACCACTGAAAAGCTGGACAACCACAAGGACGAAGTACTATTCAAGATCACTTCTCAGCATTTACACAGTAGCAAAGGTGCTATCCCTACTGTCTAATCAGCTCTTGTCTCTGCATGTTTTAGTAACATGTTTCTGTCAATGAGACCTGCACCATTTATGCTTTGCATGTACAGATCATATCTGTATGTGAATACTGTGCCCTTGATTATTGTGTTCAGCATTTGTCTGCAAATATGAGCTCCTTTTGAATATATCAAATATTTATTTAGCTTTTTAAAGTTAAATCCAAATCCATATTTTGTTTATCTTAGGCCCTTCTTGAGTCATACTTGGACTGCTAGTTCATTTCCCTAAAGGGGCAACCGAATCTTGGGTTTCTGTTCGGAAGGGATCTACTCTGAGACTATCCCACTATGCAGGAGTCGGTTTAGAGGAGCAGGCTGTCACTAATCTCCATTCAGAGACACCAGTGGGCAGCCAGAGCGCACTAAGACATGATCGGATTAACCAATGAGCGTCAGGTAAAATGTTATTATGTTTACCACCAAGGCTACAACGGTGCACGGATTCATTAAGAATTTACTAAAAAGCTCAGTGACTTTTCAGCCTCCCTCCTGACACATATTTCTGCGAGTGCCTGCAAAACACCCTAAAAGCACAAGAGGATCTTCATCTCTTCACCTCACTGCTGCCTTTCGAGTCATGTTTCCCCCTCACATCATCAGAATTCCCACCGAATGAGAAGGAACATCAAAAGAAGCCTAAGCTCTTTGATACATACAGATTTTTCTATTGTTCTGAAGCATAAAAACAGGGCTGCTTGAAATTCAACTGCAAACCCTGAGCAGAGGACACCATATTGGATTTCAATGGATTATGATCTCAGTCCATTAAAGATATCATGTCTGTGAATAATCGCTGATTGTGTATTGCTAGATTCTTGCAAGAGGCATTCTGAACACGACGACAGGGAGAAATTGGGCAGTTTGACTGGGTACAAGTAAGAACTTGAGTCTCCCAAGTCTTTAGGCATGAACCCACTGAACTCCCCAAGGTGTGTGCAAGTAGATCTAATACATAAATCTTGATCCTCCCTTGCCATCTAGTGGTCAATGGCTGCAATCGTTTCTGAAACCACAAATTACAAATATGCACTGTCATTTGACAAGGAAAGCAAAACTTCAGTTTTATAAGGATCTAATAAAGGTGCATCTTGCAATCTAAATATTTTAAAATGGAGGTCACGACCAGCAGCATAACTTTACGTTACCTTCCTCCATTATTATTTATTCAAAGCATAAAGCTAAAATGCAGAAGCAAGGTTTTAAAACAATGAGGATTAAACTCACTGCGTCAACTAAATTGTGCCAATTGTCCAGTTTAATTAATTAACTGATGTTAGCAAGTGTGAGGACCTCAATGAAATCAGATGTTTTTAGAAATTTGGTTGATCTGGGCTATTTGGGTGCATATCAGGAGGAAGGACTCAAACAAGTACTTTATAAAAGACTATACCCATAAGACGGAAACATTCAAGACACTTGATAACATTCCCAGGACAGGATGTATCATCGAGTTCACCCCACAGGTTAGACTGTTTGATCCAGAGCTACATAGTGGACTCTAGAGTTCTCTGATAGCATGATGCAAAACGTTAAAGTTCGTATATGCACAGTAGAAAAATACTTGCTTGAAAAAGTTGGCGGAGAAAGCCTCTCCTCTCAAAATAAAACATAGCAGCAAAGCTTAGGTTTGGGAAGTCAAATGCACATAACAGGACAGATCCCCAATACAGCAGCGTATCTACCCTGTCAAATCCAGTCATCAACACATAGTTCCAAAAGATACCTCTGCCTAAATCACATAAATGTACAGAAATCCTAATCCAACTTTGTAAGAAGAGAGATCCAAAACTCCTCCGAAACAATGTGAGAAACTGATAGCAACATAAAGGAAATTAGATGGTTCTTCCAAGTTCTTGAACAATGAGTTGGATGCACACATACACACACTTTTGTATTTTGGCTTGTTTTTTGAGCCAGTGTAATATACTACATCGGGTGTAGTTGTTTATCTGTGAATTAACTTTATCTTAAGGACCTGATTAGAATCAGATGATTTTTTACAATGTACTTCAACATAAAAAGCCATAAATGTGTCAAGACATTTAACAATAAGAAAAGGATGGCTTATTTGCCCTGGTGTTATCCTGACTAAAGACTGAAAGTAGCCACAGTAAGAAAATAATTTACAACATTCAATTTATTTAAGTTGTGGAAATCAAATTGATATGAACAGACATAAAACAATATTTTTGGGACATAATTAATTCCTTATTTAAGTGGGAAGAAGGAATAAAACAAAAGCATGGCCACTTTAACAGAACTTTTAAGTTTTAGTGCAACTTTAATCAAAAGTAACAATTAATCAGGTAAGACCGCAAAATCCTAAAGGAAATGGTTTTGCATGCAATACAGAAAAAAAGATAAAATATAAAATATAAAATCAAAGCTACAATAAAAGAAACTTCATGTGTACAAATGAGAGCCCAGCTAACTATCTTTGACCAATAAAAGCATTTGTATATTCAATAATTGCACAAACGCTAACCTAGAGTGAGTAGGTTACATTTAAGTCTCATTGAAAGACAAAGAAGGCAAAATGCTAAATAAATATTCCAGTATTAGAAACATCCAGGAATCTAAAGTAGGTAAATAAAGCAGAAAAGAACTAACTAGCCCTGTCTCAGTACAAAGTAAATGTGGCACACAAAACGCTTACTCATTAGCGTCTGCAAACTGGCCTGGTTCCGTGGGATGATTGTAGCAGGTCCATTTGACGGGATGTGGGTGGCGTTTGTCCGGTCTGTAATTAGCTGTCAGTGGCAGGAGTGGTATGTCACAGTACTGAGTTCTGTGAAGAGTTAAATCCCGCAGAGCGAAAGGGAGCACATCCGCTGGACCTGGGGAGACACACAGTGCCTGTCACTGTCTGAAAACTGCTCTTATTTTCATCTCCAGGTTTTTTCCGGACCCAGTCATGTGCGTTCAGGGGTTTCACCTGTTTGTCTCACTCTGCTTAAGTAGGGGTAGGCTCCCATTCCATGTAGCTCACTATACAATGTTCTTGAGCTAATCTGAGGGCCACAACAAGTTTGGAGGCCTGTAACTATTGACTCTGCAGAAAGTCAGATAACCTCTGCACAATGGTGGTTGAGTTGCATCATTCCAAATTGCTTTCACTTTGTTATAATACCACTGATAGTTGAGAAGGGAATATTTAGGAGCGGGGAAATATCAAGACTGGCCTTTTTGCACAGGTGGCATCCTATCGAAATACCATGCTGGAATTCACTGAACTCCTGAGAGCGGGCCATTCTTTAAACATATCTACAGGTGCTTCACTTGATACATGTGGCCATGGAAGTCATTGGAACTCCTGATTTCAATTATTTGGATTCTAAGCAAATATTTATAAAGTGTACATATACACATTAGCACTTGATGAAGACAATATGAAGTTTAATGTTAAGACCTGAGAGGAGTACGGTATGTTTTTCCTTTTACCATAAGGCTGGTGCCCAAATCTCATCTTTTCCCAGTCCTTGATCTTGACCTCTTGAAGCTCACTTTCCCAGTCTTCCTTTTCGTGTGGGGGCATCGGGCATGTTATGGAGCTTCCCTCAGATGTTACGGAGCTTCCCTCAGAGGTGAATTCATTATCTCTGCAAACAGGCCCAAAACATTGTGGTGTTGCTAAAAGGCTAAATGTAAGTAACATGGTTGGGGATGAAGAAATAATCTCAGAGAATAACATTGATTTGAAAGAACAGAAGCAGGACGGTTGGGAAGCAGTGTACACACTTTAAAAAAAAAAAAGGAGCCACAGTAAAGTGGTAAACATGGCCCCGTCCCATCTTTTTATAGACATGTCACTGCCATCAAGTTTCAAGATTTCACATTTTTCATTAAACATTTTATCAGTTTTCAAGGATTTACCGTCAGTAAAACATTTGCTTATAGGGAACGTACAACACTGCATTCTGTTTTATTTCTGAAAGTGGCATTTTGGCAAATTCTGTCAAAGAAGTTTACTAATACTTTAGCCAGCTAGCTGAGGAAGCTGCCAAAGGAGATTAGGATGCCTTATGATTAGGAACATTTTGAAAACGCAAAAAGTATCTAATGATATATAATCAGTAGAGGGGGGTCAAACCAATAGCTCCTAAAGTGGACCCCTTGTAAGAAAATGAATCCAAGCAATTCTGACTACAACTAAGAGTAATCCTGCAAATAAACACCAACAATGAAGTTAAAGCTGTCCTGAATGTTCCCTGTCTGTGGAAAATGACCTCTTCTTCTTTTTCTTCTTCACATGACTGATACAACACACATTTCCATCTTAAAACAGTGTCCACTCCCTATGTAACAGTTCATAGCACATTCATATTTGACCATAAAATAAACACAGATGACACTGAATATCTTGAAAACTATATTGTTCATGTTTGAGTTAATGATGTGGATTGATGTGAAATATTAATTTACCTTTTTTTCTTGTGTTTGAATTTATTCTTTCTACTATTCTTCTTCTTTGGTGCTTTTAAGATGGGATCTGGAACCACTTGATCAAACACAATGGGGCGCACCGCAGCATCAGTCTTGGTGGGATCGCTGCTCGAAACAGATGCTACACTCTCAACCTTTCCGGAGGCAGAAGGATTGTTGACATGGTTAATGTAACCATTAATCACGGGCGTCTGTTTGGGACCATGGACTGCATGAACTGGTGTGCTCTCTCTGTTTCTACAGGCAGCAGCCAAGAATCCATGGGGAACAACTGCTCCGTTGGCTAAACCTGCCCTTGGAATCTGACCGTTGACCAGGTCCTTGACTTTAAAGGTGTTGTAATACGACACCCTTCGTCCACTCTTGGAGCACAGACCACTGTCATCCATCACATCACCTGTGATGTGCAGAAACAGGGTTTGATTAAAACAAAGAGGAGGCTGAACATCTTGAAAACAATTTTTTTTAAACAGTCCAGTAAAATGTCATTTGTTAATATATATTGACTGAATGAAAATGAATGCAGGCCACATTGTTTACATTTTGCTTCCAAGGAGTCAAACTTTTTTATTTTATTTTGAGGTGATCTCAAACAATAGTTAGGTTCAAGTTTCTTTTTTTGGGACGTTAATTGCTTTATCATACATTTCTCTAAGTTCTTTAAAATAGTTAATTTTTGTTAAGCCACTGATCACTGACCTATGCCTAATTCGAATACAATAAATCACTCTATGCCGGGGAGAAACCAGTGTTGTGTCAACTGTGGAGGACAGAAATGACCATAAACCAAACTGAATCTTTTTAAAAAATAATTTTTAAATGACTTTTTAAGCTTTAATTTTTAACTGCAATAATTTGTGTTAATAATTGTGCAATAATATGTGTATTATGATGCCATTTTGTTTTTCCTTAAGCTGCATTTAGTTCTCTATAACATTGTCTTTGCACTCTTTACCCCATTCATTTCTACAAACCCATTGATTTGCATTGAACTGCCTTCATTCTTATTCTTGTATTACTGTTTGCATAAGAGCTTTACTTTTGAGAAAGGGAGAGACTGACTTTCATGTCCTGTCTTGGGCACAGCTTCTCACCAGCATGAGAAGTTGATTCATCGGCTGCTTGATTTTCAAAGGTGGTGCCTGAGACTCAAATCAGGGGGGATATAATACTTCCACTACTTACAGTTTATTATCCAAACAGACCGGAACACTCATGTTGTCTCACTATTGGAGGTGTTCCTCCAAATATAGCATGCCTTTATAAGGACTTAGTTCAAAGCAACACACTGCCGACTCCCTTTCTGAGTACAAGTTCTGAATAAGCTACGGTAATTGCTAATGACGTTAGCCTTCTGTACTTCCAGTGTCTACAGAGGAAAGCACTACAGCTGTTAATCTACAAAAAAAACATTTGACATTGATACAAACATCATAAGAAATGATCTTATGAGTAAGGTTTTAAAGGTCTTTTCATGTTACAAACCTGTGCGAGCATTATGATTTCGCTCATGGATCAACAGGAAGGCATTCTATTTCCTAAATAGGAAACTCACAACACTTATCAATAATATTTGAGTGAACGCTGCAAAAGCATTTGATGCTGGGGCCAACAGGTATGGATTTATGGATGAACATGTGCCACTAGTGTAAAGTATTTTTGGGATAAAAATATAAAGCAGGGCGCTTTCCAGGTTTCTCACAACATGATGTTCGATTCTAATGGTAGTCCTAGAGTGATAGAAAGATGATGCCTTGCTGAAAGCCTCCTACTGTCTTCCAACATGTTAAGACCTTTAAAACATTACTTTAAATACAACTTACTCGGACAAATGGTGGACAGAAGAATTGTCGGGTCTGAAATGATTTTTAACAGATGAACAGCATCTAAAAGAGATATCCTTAAAAGATAGGTGACACAAAACCTTAGTTATTAATCTCACCCTTTAACTGACCTATTTTCTGTTCACTGCAAGGTTTGCTGTCAAGTAGCCATTTTAAGATAAGGAGAAATGGGGTTATGCCAAATGGCACAAGAACTGGGTTGAAAACTAGTTTGCCTGAATCCTCCAAAATGCCTGAACCTCAAAATGTATTAATCAGGGTGGGATCATCATGACTTTGAGCAGAACAAAAAGGCAGCCAACATCCATAACAGAGTTTTGGGATTTTCTTCTAGAAACCCTGGCGTGCTATTCCTAACAATTAAAAATAATAAAGAGTTGTTTGGACAAACAATGTGGTTAAATGATTAATATTTTACATGTAGCATTTTCTAAGTTCTTCCATTCCGATAGGTGGCAAAATACAGGAAAATGTATCAACAGCAAGTAGGAAAAAATTAAAAGATTTACATAATATTTTTTCATATGAAATCATTCATTAATACCTTGGGCCCTATGTATTGCAACACGCTAATCCAGGAAAATATGTATTCCTCTGAAGGAATAAGACTTAGTGTAACAGATTATTTAAATTTGAGGTAAAACTTTCCTTTTCAACCTCTGTATCTACATACAATTTTAATTGCAAATATTTCGAACATTTTTAAGTCCAAGTTGTTAAAACTTTTTAGACGCGTTTTTGGTATTTCTTTGTTTCACTCGTTTGATTAAAAAGCTCTACTAACAATTAACTTCAATGTTAAAGTTATAGATAATCTAAAGTGTGTCAGTTCAACACCGGTCAGACATTAGGCGTTAGCTAACGTTAGCCTTTTGATTGGCAGCGTTCATTATACAGACCGTTGGTAGTTCACGTGCTAATCAGGTAAGTGGAAACTTCCAAAAATACATTGAAATAAAAATGCAAACAGTCAAATGAATAAAGTGAGAGCAAAACTTCTTATCACCTCTTACTTACCTGTGCTTGGCAATGTCCAGTAATCTGTCGTCCGCCAAAAATATCAATAAAAAAAAAACGATGGATGAAGTTGCCATTAGGTGACGCCAGAGAACGCAGAAATCATTTTATTTCCGTGTTTGATAGGAGTTCGATAGTCAAAAGCAATAGCTCTGAAAACGTTCATCAGCTGCACATTGCGACTGACTTGAAATTATTTAAATCAGATTACATGAACTTTTCTTATTAAAGATTTGAAAAATGTTAATCAAATTGAATTTAGTAGCTGACCAAATTTGTAAATAATTCTATCCCAAACTGTATATAAAAAACAACTAGATAGATCAATAGATCTATATTTATTATACTGACAGAACAGATATTTGAAAATGTATTTAATTTTATTTTGCATGTGCTTGGATTTCAGTTAATTTTAATTTCAGATTAAATTTATATAAAAAAAAAAATTCTAACATAGTGGTAGCAAAGATTAATTTCATGAGGCATCATCATTGTCAAATCCACTTTTATTGCCTTATATGTAAACTACGTGCCGATTGGGAAGGCCTGGACATTCGTTTTAAGAGCAACAAGGCATGAGTTTGTGACAGTTTTCACAACTTGTACAGTTTGGTTTGTTTTATTTAAATCTAGAATGGCACAAGGAGTTATTGAGTAAAACTATTCACCAGAAAAACCATGACACAATCCAGCAGGTGTTGGTAATAAATTAATATTGCTCTTAATGCCAACTGTTTAGGTAGGAAGACGGTTTACAACCTTATCAAAATCCAGTTTAAAGCAAAATTGGAAAATCAGTGGACTAACAACCACTAACAAAAAAAAGAAAGCAAAAAGAGAAACCTACAACCAAAAATCAAAATCATTGATGTCAAAGAAATTTCACATCATTGACCAATTAAATCCCGGTTTGAGTAGAATGCGTAGTGCTATACAAATGAGAGGACAACTAAGCAATGGCAAGTTTCTTTTTCATAAAACTGTATAAAATTGTTTTCTTCGTACCAATTTTGAAAAAAACCATGGTAAGTGGCACAGGAATACAAATTATCACTATATAAGTACAACATTTACAAGTCAGGAAAATATGTGAGACAGAATGTTGCTTTCAAAGAACCTCTGAATCTACAGCTATGTCATTCCGGGAACGTCCTCAAAAAGGCACAGACAGAAAAAAAAAGTGTACCATGCAAATGCAAACAAAATGTTCTTGTGCAAGGAAGCAAAACTCAAGTTCTGAATAATTACATTAATACAGCAGAATGTATTTGTTTCCCTATTAAAAAACAATGCCCTCCTTGTTACAGTACTGAACACTATACAGGTGTGTTACCACACTTCTTAACCAGTACAGATTTCAATTGCAAATGCTCATTTGGCCACACAGAAAGGGAAACATGGACCTTTACATTCATGGTATTTACAGTATTTAAGTTTCAGACAGCAGGGCATTGCTTACAATCCACCACCCAAAGGTGGTGATTTGATTGCTAATCCAGTCATTTGCACCGAGAGGCGAGTTTCCTGTGAACATAGAATGTCCTAGTCTATCACTCCCACACAAATCCAACACACAACCTGTACATTCATCGAACTTTTCTGTGCAACATAATTTTGGGTCTATTATTAGCATCTGGGAATCATTTCAAGCTCATGCTAACAAGTAGCAGTCGTGGAAGTTAGTTTGAAGACACTCAGCTTCACTGCATCAGTGACAAACCACAACTCATTTGAACCAACTAAGGGCCACTTCTTGGTAAATACAAATTCACTATTAGACTGATTGACACAGCATGTGCAATTTTACTGGAAGACTTGTTTTTAAGATGAAAAAAGCAGTTTAAAAATACCTTCAAAGACTTGACAAAAATCCTCATTTGCCAGCGTACACAGTCCATCGTGTTAACATCAATAACAGTACTTCTTTAACTCCTTTTATTTTCTTTCTCTGACCACTTTATACTCCTTTCTCACCCTTTTTATAACACATGCTTATCCTAATGAAATCACGTCCAGTCAGAGGTCACCTACAAGACAGATATTAGTTTACAGATCAGGCAGTATTTCTGCCTTCATTACTGCCTCTCGTAGGTCTTGGTATCACTTTATTTTTGCAACATCCATGAGTATCACAATGTTAGCTCAATGATCCAGTATTTATGCCCAAGTACAATTATTTCCAGTGTATGGGGTATAATTACCCGGTTTGTCATTTGAGACTGAAATAAACTGTCACAGTTGTAAAATTCTTGTCAATGAAGATTAAAAAGCTGTTTCTCTAGAGTTCAAAGCCCCATTTTTTTTTCCAGTGAGAAAATGTCTGTCCACCAGCAGCAGCAGGGCAATTGCCCATGGGCAATCCCCAATGTCTTTTTAGGAAAGACTTGTGTCCGCTTGTCATTGCTTTCCAAATGTAAAGGGTCCTGACTTGTGCTGCAGGTTCTGATCAAACGAATGGAGTGAATCTTCACTTCATCCCATGCTAGTTCTTTATCTCCAGAATGGAGGGATTATGGTCCAGGATAGACAGGATGATTTTGTCCATGTACTGTCGTAGGCGTAAGTTGATTTCCTCCTGCTCTTTCAGGGCTTCCATTAACTGCACAAATAAACATAGGGGTTTATTCAATTGCATCAATTATTAGATCTTAAGCATGCCATTAAAATATGTTTCTTGGTTTAACCCTTAAACTGCTATTGTTTTCTGTAATATTCTGGAAATAGAGTGGTATTTGGTTACATGCAGCTATACACAGTAGCTGCATAAATCTGTCTAACACTGGTCATGGCTAAAAATGAACTACTATCCATTAAAAAAAATAAAAATGAAATGAAAATTTGTTTTAGAAAGGAAGGTGGTATCATGGCTCACCACTTTCTCAAGATTTTTTAAATTACTCTACTGCAGTTCCAATAAACAAAACAATGAATAACAATGTTGGATGTGTGCCATGGCATTGGAATTACGTAGGGTTGTTCCTAAATTCAGCATCTTTACTTAGGATTGAGAAAATGTTTGAAAATATGTTTTGCTCAACAGTCAGTTGATGAATTCAGAATTGTCACCTGAGATGATATCTTAACATTTCCAATCCTGTTATTAGACAAAGGCCCCTAACTCCTGGTTTTATAAACCAAAGAAGATCAAATCTATTATAAAACATCATCATGGTTTGATGCTACATCCTATCCCATGGATTACTTCGTATGTGTGAAGATATCATTAATTCAGAGGTGTATGCTGGAAATTTGGACTGATAACCTAGTTCTTCCCCCAGGGGTTCTATGGCACCATTTCAGACCTTTTTTTTTCTGAAGAACTTTAAGGAGGGGAATTAAATAAAACCACCACTGACTGTTAAGGTATGGGACTGCACTAAGATTCCTTCTCTTACAAATCCGAAAAACCTGTATCCTCTGTTCCCGAATGATAACTATAAAATGCTAACTTTTATGGAGACAGTTGCCTGCTAAAAACATAGCGTATAGTGGTGAGTGTCCCCCCCCTCCCGGGAGACCAGGGTTAAATTCCCTGGAGATACACATGTATAAATTCTACTTTGTAAGTCGCTTTGGATAAAAACATCTGCTAAATACATATACATGACTTCATATCTCTATCCTAATTTCCCTCAGATAATTATAGGGTAGAATTTTTAAATTGTTTCATTATTTAACTTATTTTGTGCAATCTTAGCATTTAGATTTACTGATTGAGATATTTATACATTTCTGCTTTCATTTTTAAGTCTCTTCAAACAAAACAAGTGTTGATGTGTGATGATGGACGTCTTACCTGGTCTCTGGAGGCATTATCTATCTCAGCTGCAAGAGATTGGGCCTTGGTCTGTGTGGCAAACAGGCTCTTAGCTTCATGCAGGCTGAGGCTGAGGATCTGACCATTCAGCTCATCGTTCTGCTCCCTCAGTTTCTGGTTCTCCTAAGACACCAAAGAGACAGAGACAGAGTAGAGATACACAAGAAAAAAGGCAAAGAGTATGATCAACATAACGATCTATAAAGATTGACATTTTCTTTGTTTTTTATTCAGCAGCAGCCACTACTAAAGCTCCATTCAACCATACATCAAACCACTGCATTTGCTCCTTCTTCTAGCAGCAAACACAGCATCTAGGTGGAAACGCCTACGGGACTTTCAAAGGGTTACAAGTGTTAACTCTTCCCCTGCATTTTCTGGTGTGTTATGAAAGTTTTGTCATTCATTTCCAGTTAACAGCCCACAAGAGCTCAGTTTGCTTTTTACATTTATTTTTTGCCCTACTCCATTGTTAATAGTGGTTAATCAGGACGTCAAAGGTCACAGAAGCAATTTTACCATTGGTCCGGGGCAGAGCCGAGCCCCAGACAACACCAGGTGATGGAATTCAGGGGGAAGAAAGTCCTGAGATGTAAATTGCTGGACACACACATACAATTATTCACAGAGGTGCACAGGCCACAAAAAGAGGATGAGCATATGTCCTGATAGTCATCTATCTTGGGTGCTTATTGGCTCAGCGACCATCATATTAGCCTGTTTGCCTTCTGCCAGCATCCACAACCTCCAGCTGGTTCTATTCACATCCATAACTAATGGTTGTGTGTCGGCTTGCTCTGCCATGTTGTGATGCATTTTCGTGTTGAATTGTGCATTTACATCAACTCTAATTTAAGAGAGGAGATAGGGTTTAAAAAGGCTTAAAAGCTAAGAATAATATATAGTCACTACTTTGCGGTAACCTAACCCCAGCGATAGGTAAGAGGTGAGGGACCACTGTATATTACATAGATATGTGCCTCATCAAACATAAATGCTGACTATGCTCAATTTAATATGTCTGAACATGTACAATCATAACAAAAAGGACCTGTTTTGCTTTAATCTAAAGTTACAAAAAGTTTTTGAAAAGTAGGTACAGATTGAATATGGGATGAAGTCACTGTTAAGATAAGCATACTGTGTACAGATCACTAAAAAAGATTTGAGACATAGGGAGGCAGCACAGGGTTTAACTCGAGATAGCACTCAAGACGGTTCACAAGCATCCTGGTTAGGTTCCGTTTTTTTCACATTTACCTACAAAATGGAGAAGATAAGAGTAGAGTAAAATGCAAAAAAACAAAAAAACAAAAAAAAACAAACAAACACTTTATATACTTTATAATATCAATCTTGATATTGGTTAGCCTGATCTAGACTGCTTGGGTATGTCTTGTGAGGAAATCAAAATATAACCTGGAGCCAAACCTGCTTCCTGAATTCAGCCGGTCAAAGACTGGTAGTGGTTCTATGGGCTTCTCAGGCAGTGGCACCGAGACTGTGGAATGCTTTACGCTGCCTCGATTCTGTTGAATCTATTTAAAAAAAAATCTATTCAAAAATGTTCAACTAATACCTTCTGAGCTCAGTTCGATTCTACTTGTTTTGTTTTTGCATTTCTATTGGGGGCTGGTGCCTCCCAACAGTTCAATTAGCACCTATTCAGCCGCTTTTGGTTGAGTTGGGCCATCACCGCAATGTACTTCATTGTAGTTTTGTGCTTCTGTCGCAAACAAATTACATCATCAGTCTGTTGGTCTGTCTTTCACTCAGGACCTCGCTTGTTGTAGAAAACCACCTAGACCGAGTCATGGCAAGGGGAATAGAGCCAAGTATGGCTGAGTAGATACCAATGGAAAACCTTTTGAATCGACAACAGCTTGGATTTGTGTGCCTGTTTGTTTTTTGCTCTTATCTCCCCTCTCTGTCCTATCTTTAATCTATTGTGCTCTTTTTTTACTTTGTGATTTTTGTCCTGCTAAAGGTATCTTATTAACAAACTTTACTTACTTAACAAATCATAAAGTAACAAGTGCATTTAAATGTCTGACCTATCTGAAATGGACATTATTCTTTTAAGTAAATGTAAACAAGAATTAACATGCACTGAATGTCATTTCCAAAATCAAAATATCAGTACTTCCCGTTGAGGATGTTAGTGTAAAGAAACAGGAAGTTTTAGAGGCAACAAAGTTGGTTTTCAAAGCTATAAAATCAAATGTAAAGTTTTAAATACCTAAATACAACATCCACTGTTGTAATGTGAGCACAAGATCCACAGAGTCTGCAGCCATAAAAATACCCAAGCTTTTTTAGATTTATGACATTTTTGCTTTTAATCTGGCTATATATTCCTACATGTTTGGTTCTTGGGGCTGGTGGAAATGGACGTAATTCCATGATGTGTGCAAAAAAAGCTTTCTTTCCTGGAGAAATTATACGGTGATAAGCAGATTTTAGATTTGATGCCTCCTGTGGACTGGAACGAAATTAAAATACAGTGAATGTTCTCAGCGACTAAATGAATGTAACAAAGGTTCATCTGTACCTGCTTGAGCCTCTTGACCTCATGCTCGAGCTCCACCTCCCTGGTTCTGCTGCTGAAGTCTGCAAGCCCAATGGATGAGCTGCGTCCCCGGCCAGGTTTCTCCACCTCCAGCTTGTAGAGCTGCAAGTGCTCCAGCTCTCGACGCAGGTCCTCTATCAGCTACACAATAAGAGAATGGACTGGTGAGCAATGTCACATCTTTCCGAGATGTCTTTCTGTTACAGTAAGTAGTTGATTTGACACGGCAAAGAATATACTTTGCTGTTTGTGTGTGTGTAAGTGTATGTGGGTCACATCAGAAGATCCCTCACACCTCTTGCATGGCCTCCTTCTCTTTCTGAAACTGCTGTCTGTTCTGTCTCAGCTTATCCATCATTTTCCTGTAGAGGTCCATCTCATCCTTCAGTCGCAAACTGGTATCCTCCAGCTTGTCCGTCATCCTTTGCTTCTCCTGAGGATGAACAGATTGTTTTTTCTTTGTTTCTTTTTGTCTCACCAGTTTTGAGGGTTAATTCATTCTAAACTAACGGTAATAAGTATACACTCTCCTGGTTAATCATGCTTCTGTTACACGTGTTACATTTTACATCTGTGAGTTTTTTTAAGTCAAACTTTTACTCAGGAGGAGCAGTGTGGTTTTCGCCCATGTTGTGGAACAGTGACCAAGTTACTGAGGGGATCGTGGGAGTTTGACTGTCCAGTCTAAATGTGTTTTCTAGACGTGGAAAAGGCTTACGACCATATCCATCGGAAGCTTCTGAAGGGATTCTGTATAACTAAGTCAAGAGCTGTGTGTGCTCCCCTGACACCAAATGAAACCTGTTTAAAGTGCGTGTTGGTCTCTGCCAAGGCTGTCCCTTGTCACCAGTCATGTTTGTGATAATACGCAAAAACCTCAAGGCGTAGTCATGGAGAGACGGATGTCTGGTTTAGGAACTTCAATATCATATCACAGAATCTAGACTGAAACAACAAGATCACAGATCCTGATTAGGGTGCCCTTCTAGGCACAGAGTTACTCCCCTGTGGAGGTTTTCTGGCATGTCGTACTAGGAGAAATCCAGAACAACGTGCAGACATAATATATCCCAGCTGCCCTGGAAATGGCTTGGGGTCCCCCATGAAGAGCTGGAGGGTGTCACTGGGAAGAGGGATATCTGGGTCTAGGTCTCCCTCCTGAACTTCTTTCCTTAGCAGCCCAAGCTCAGACGAGTACAATAAAATGGATGGATTGTACTTTGTAAAATCTCAATTTATAGATAAGTTGGAAAAACATGAATCTTTATTAGAATAAAACCCCAGCACTTGGCTCACATATATTTGACTATCAAGGGAAGTGATCTGTTTATTTTTCATATCAATATAAAGACTACACATTGGACCCTGAAAAAAGTGAACTCGGACATTAAAAATATTGAAAAAGACTGACAAAATTCAAAAGTGTCTCACCTCATCCAGTTTCTCTGTCTGTGACTTCAGTCGGCACATGTTCATAGACATATCCCCATTCTCATCCTCTAGCTGCTTCACCCTGACACACACGGGAAAAAAAGGAATGTTAGTGCACTAATATGAGTGTGTTTCACCATCAGCTGCAAAATACTGCTTAAGTGAAAGAACCAAAGTATGCGTTACTAACTAAGGAGGATTCTCTGAGGTCTGTTTATAGTAATGTAATTTTAAAATCTGGAAAAATGCATATCTGTATCTTGAAAAAGATTGCTACTTGCACTTTGAAAGTGAATTGATTTAGTTTTGTTCGTCTTTAGTTTGAGACTGCCGCAATAACGCTTTAAAAAATGCAAAAGGATGAAAAACTACTGCCAGGGCTGTTGCTGTCAAACTTAAAAGGAAGAGCGTGTCTGAAATGGATGTATTGCCATTCCTCACCGGCTGCTCAGAAGCTCTATCTGAGTGTTCTTGTCTTTCTCCATCTTAGTGTAGGCCTCTCTGTGTCTTCTCAGTTGCTCCTGCAGATTTAGTTCTGAACGCATCTCTTGGTCCTTCAGCTGCTCCTCCAACTCATGCACCCTAGGTAATGGAGATAGAGCCCTCTTGTATTGAACATTTTGGGCTTCTTTTAAATATTAAATCCCCCTTACAATCTACAGTAGCATCAGTCAGTTGGGGGGGGGGGGATTGTACACAGTCTGTACAACATAACTCTGGGCCAGCCATTTATTCATAGGGGAAGAAAACTCAACTACTTCATTTTTGCCCTCACCTGTGTACTAGTTGTGTGTTTTCCTGCTTCAGCTTTGACTTGAGGTCCCCATTCATCAGAATCTCCTGCTCGAGTTCTGCCACCTTTTTCTCGAGAGAACTCACCTAATAAAAATAGATGATAATGATTTATAAAATGAACATTCTTATTAGATCCTATAAGTATAAGATAACCCTGAATTAAAATGAAAATAACTTATTAGAAGTATATGGCTTGACTGTCCATGGGGGACAGCTCTAATCTGTCATTAACCTTTTATGTTGCTTATAATCATATTTTCACCTTTTTTTTTTTACATTGGACAAGACAAAAACCTTAATTTCTCTCTTGAACACAAAACCATCATTTTCAGCTGTTCAGAAGTCAAAAGCCACATTAACTTGATCAACCTGGCTGTTGCTATAGGTTTTTGCTTATATTACCATCATTTTGCAGACCGCGCTCTACTTTCGGTCTCTGAAATTCCTAAATGTGGAGTGGGAGGTAGAACCTTCAGCTAATAGGGTGTCTCTAAGACAACCAGTATATGTTCTAGAAGCAGACTCCCTCTCTTTCTGACGAAGCTTATAGTTAGGGAAAGCTTAGATCACATCGAAACATCTTATAGTTTAGCTGCTATAGGCCTAGACTTCAGGATGCACCTTTCTTCACACTGTTATCCTTTTTCTTCATATACATGAGACATTGTTGTCATTAACTTGTTTCCCTTTCTCAGCAGGTGTCCCTGAGCTGCTGTTGTGGTGTGTTTTGTTCACCTGTCCTGTCCTGTGAAACCCCAGCTGGTCAAGGCAGACGGCCACCCTCCCTGGTTCAGTTATATAAGTTTGTTCCTGTTAAATGGGAGTTTATTTCCACAGATGTATTGTTCACTTAAGGTTCACTGCAATCATTTTGATTCCTGCGCAATTAAACTTTTTTGGATTGCCTTGCCATGATTTTGAATAATTTGGATTTTAATTGACTGGAACTGATTAGAATGAAATTGTATTGTAGTGAAGTGGATTCTAATGGCTTCTAATTCCCACCTCCAGAAGACATTTTCTAGAGGGGGGAAAGTTACTGAGATGATTGTGGGAGTCGTGGGGTGGCTCAGGAGGTAAGAGCAGATGCCCACCGATTGGAGGGTCAGTGGTTCAACTCCAAGTTCCTCCAGACCACATGTCAAAGAGTCCTTGGACAAGGCTCTGAACCCCAATTTGCCTACTGGTTGCATCTGGTGTACTCACTGGTGTGTGTGTTAATGGTGAATGACAAGTAGTGTAAAGCTGACTAGAAAAGCGCTATACAAGTACATTTACATTACATTTTGTTGTGATTTGAACTTTTTTCCCCAATTGATTGGCCCTTTCTGTGCTTAAAGCAGAGGACAGATGAGAGTAAAAAGGATGCCTAAAGAAAATAAAAAATGATAAAGACAGCTGGCAGTGCGACCCAACAAGCATGTATGTATACAGTGTACCGCAGGTATTTGTGTCTGCATTTTTACATTCACAGTTGACTTTAGTTGCAGTCACAGTTGAAAAAACAACTGTACCACTAACTATTGTAGGGCGATGCAGCGGTTAAAAAATCTGGAATTAATAAGACCAGAGCAACTGACAGCTAATAGAATTTCTAACAGAAGAGAGAAAAAAATATGTGAATGACTGGACTTATTTGAAATCTCACAGTTTTAGGAGCAACATAAGCTTCCCAAAAGATACTTGTTTGGGGCACACAGGCCTGTTTCAGCATAGCACAGCAGAATGATTTCAAACCCAACTGTAGAATGGTTATGTCACATTTAAAAAGTTATATCTTCAGTTTCTTTTCCTTTTTTAGGTTGTTTTTTTAGTGTGTATGTTAAAAGTCCTGCTTTAGTTTTACTTTACCATAAATGTTATGCAAACACTTGACTATTTGCTTCAGATTACATCTCCCGATAAGCAGGATATATGACAGCAAGCAAATCCTCCTCATACAGTTTCTGTAAACAAAAACTCCCCTTGTACCCGCTTGCATTTGAAGGACTATAGAGGAATCTTAACAGATGTTTATGGAACATTTTGACAGATTTAACGTTTAACAGGCTTGTCAAGCAGTCTTTTTAGCACAGCTCAGCATATGAACAAACATTCCACCTTCTCGTTGATGTCGATATCACAGGAATCGATGCTATCTCGGAAAAGGTCTTCTGTGCTGCCATTACTGCTGCTCAGGTTGCTGTTGTGGAGCAGCTGCCTGCGCAAAGATGGATAAACAAAAACTTAACCCGCCTGGGGAGGGCTTATATCAGTGATGGAGGTGCTGTGAAATGCTGCTAGAGAGTAGCATAAATATACAGACTATGAGGTGGTGTTGGCTGGTACAAACAGAATAAAAATGGACACACACACACTTGCTACATCAGCCACACACAAACACCCCCACAGACTCAAAGCCCTGTGAGTGTCAGCAGGGACACTCACTTGGTGGTGTGACTTTAGCTAACCCCTTTTAAAGTGATGGGATAAGTTTCCCATGAGCAAGCTGCTGCTCCATCACAAAGATTGGCAATAAAAGGGAGGAGAAGAGAAAAAACAGAGAGGACAAAGAAGAAAAGAAGAGATAAGGACAGCAATAAAGAGGAAGAGCGAACCAAAGCAGACACAGACGCCAGCAGAAGAAACAAGGAGAGGGAGCCAAACATTATATTAAATACATATATCAAGCTTGACAGGTCATTTTCACTCTGTCGTAATAACTCAGTTTGTGTGGCTAAAAATAGGACAGAAGCCTCCATCCATAGATATCTTAACAACCTCAAACTATTAAAGCCATGCAGCAGGATACATGGCTGCTAAGAAAGCTCAAAACTCACCTTGGGAACAAAAACAATGAATTAGCTATGGCCATGTCTGTTTCCTCTTTATATAACAAGTTCATGATAAACTGGATGTTAAGTGTAAGATGGTTGATAAGAAAGCAGGAAGTGGTAACCTGCCTCCATACGATTGTGACAAACATCAACAAAAAGAGCCACCAAGAGCCCAAGCAGCCTTCTGTATACACATACACACACGCTACACATTTTGACACACACAGGTGGTTGGCCTACCTTCCAAAAGCAGTGCTGGAGATTTTTCTGTTTGGGCTAAACAGAAAAAAAAAGAAACACAATTTGACTTTTGTTGTCATTCTCACAGTGGTTTATCGATTATTTCCATTACTCAGGGTCCTAGGGCCCATTCATTTTATGGTCTATTTTAACATGTTTGTATATAATAACTAAATTCAATAAACATATAGGCCCTTCGATGGACCGGCGGACCCGTCCAGGGTGTACCCCGCCTCTCGCCCATTGACCACTGGGATAGGCTCCATTTCTCCCCACAACCCCATTAAGGAATAAGCGGTAACGATAATGGATGGATGGAATAAACAAATAAAATTCACTAACAGTTTAACAAGCAAAAACGCTTGCAAATAAATTACATTATACAATGTGATCTTCTATTTAGCATTCATCAGTTATAAAACGCTCATCTGTGCACTCAAACAAAACAAATCAAGCTTAATCACACAAGCTTTAACACAAACCTAACATTCATCCATCCATCCATTATCATGACCGCTTATTCCCTAATGGGGTCGCGGGGGGACTGGAGCCTATCCCAGTGGTCAATGGGTGTTAGGTGGGGTTAACCAGTCTTCCAGTCCATCGCAGGGCCACACAGAGACATACAAGGACAAACAACCACACACCCTAAGGGCAATTTTGAATGTCCAATCAACCTAACATGGAGGTTTTTGGACGGTGGGAGGAAGCCGGAGAACCTGGAGAGAACCCACGCAGACACAGGGAGAACATGCAAACTCCACACAGAAAGGACTCAAACCCAAAACCCACTTGCTGAGAGGCGATGGTGCTAAACACCACATTTCCGTGCTGCCCCACAAAACCTAAATATCTTCAAATTATACTTTTTATATGCAAGATGAAAAACACTGAAATCTAACAAATATTATACCGTATTGTTCCTAATCTCCAAACCAGAGCTGAATAACTGTATATAACAACAATACACTGCGATCCTATACATTTGCGTTAATATATATCTCAGGGGCACTCGCAAAAATCACCTGTGCAGCCTGCAACATGTGCAGGAGTAACTGTGAGGTTATCTTTGTAACGGTTTAATGAAGGCCACATTACAGATTGGGTCACACAAGAGTATGTCAGTTTTTTCATAACATGGTTTTCGAGTTCCTTCTTCCCCTTTTTTCCTCTTTTTTACTCTGATTAATAAAAATATATTACAGATATGGTAATCTTTTTTTCATTCTATTCTGATCTGAATATAATTGGCAGTTATTAACTGAAGCTAAACATGATATATGTATCACATTGGTTTTGAAATTTAATAAAAGAAAATAAACAAAGAAACTAATTTCTGAGGTTTTCTTGTTCCTAGCTGAATATTTCTGTGTGACTCTTTGTTCACACTCCATATTATAGTAAAAAAAAAAGAAAAAAACTGGGAATATAGGAAATAATCAATATATGAAAAAAAAAGATACATGGCATTGATCAGGATATGTGTCTTCTGATATTTCAACAGCCGCCATAGCCATAAGCAATTACCAATGCCGTTGGCTTAAGTTTGCTAGTTAATGTAGTTAAGCCTACAGTTTAGGCTTCTACTTACTGGAGATTGTTAAATAACTGAATGGTGCATAGTCTCCACCTGGTGGCAGGCTACTAAGTTGTAAGTGATAGTTCTGATGTTTAATAACATATGCTGTTTTGGGGCCCTTGTGACCCACAGTTACAGGAATTGTTTGGCCCCATGGTTAAGAATCACAGCAGAAGAGTACAGGGCATTCTACAAATTGGACAGAAAAGAAAAAAACTTGTATTTTGCCTGTAGAAACCCAAATGTGTTCATTATTACTATTCAGGTTGTGATTCAATATGAAAAAACTAAATAGATCTTAAAAAGAAATATGAATCTGGCGTGTTTCCGCAGACTGCTTATCGTGACCATAGATGTCACAATAATGTCACCCGTTTCAGGAGTGACTAATTTCTGACAGACCTTTAAGACTTTCTAAGTCAACTTGGAAAAGCATTACATTTATGCCAGAATTCCAAAAGACAGCCCAGGAGACCGTCACCCTTACTTGCAGAATCTAGATGCATTCTGCTAACTCTTTTAAAACTAAATCCACATCAATTAGAGTTTGTCATTTCAAACAGGAATACATTCAGTACATCGATTGGTAGTTGTCATGTTTTTATTTGGCTGTGACAAGCTTCATTGACGCTGTCATGGTTGACTTTTGGTTTACATGAACCAAAAAGTGAGATGTATGAACCAAAAATTTGAGTCCTGCTTGACTCATTGACATACAATCTCGACAACCTCTAAAAGCTAGATTAGTGACATCAATTTTTTTTTTGTGGACCAATTTCCTTAATTGTTATCCTACACAGCAAAAATAATGTGATTATTCTATTAATCAAATCAATAATTTATTCAATAATTACAGGCACGATTACAACACCATGTGTTTTTCAGTATTTATGTACTGATGTACATACAGGATACATATACTGTACAAAATGATTGGTTTGTAGTTTTCACTTATATTCCCTTTTTTAAAAGAGTTGTGTGATCTTTTGGATTTGGCAGTTCTACAGATGCTCACGAAAACAATGTATTTGACCCTGCAGTTCAATTTAAAAAGTATGTCAGCACAGTTCTGCCAAACAACAAACTTGCACATTTCATCTATTACGCAATCACATTTTATCAGTGATCTCATAAATTGTACAGATTTTCCCGTGCCCTATTTTTCTTAAAAAAAACAACCTTTTTAAAGTATTTATTTGCGACTATTTACGATAAAAGAGATACTTTCAAGTGATGCTCCAAAGTCTTGAGGGGTATATACTGCTTGTTTTCAAATTCTGCATCTAACAATTTTTCGCCACTGACGCATTCCCATAAAAACACCCGCAGTTTTGTGCGTGTGATACATGTCTTTGCGTGCATTTCTACAATATACCTGTTAGCCTTGAGATTCTTCAGCCGAGCCTCTAGATCATTCAGCAGGTTGACCTTTTTGCTGCACTGGGAACAGTAGACATCCATGAGTTCACCCGTGTAATCGTGACGCGTTTTCCGAGGTGTCTGACCGGCGCTGTAAACACAAACAGAATCACTTAAAACCACACCGAAAAAAGAAAATAAAAATTTCACTGGGGCTAGATTGACTTCTTTCTCATGCAGAATCATCAAAGACTTGGTTGCTCTCCATATAAAACCGCTTGTCAACTTTATTCGGGCGAGTTTGTCTGTTTGGTATGTGTGAAAGGACTGCCAATCTATCAGGCTTAATCCCTTGAAACACAAGACTTTGATGAATATTAATGTGGCCTTGAGTGCAAGAACTTCTAACATACACTTCCCCAATTTAGACGCAGAAGAGCATGACTCAGGTGATAATTCAGGAGGTGGCAGAGCAAAGATGCAAATCCATGAAATTTAGAGTACAAGAATCATAGCTTTGCTTTCTCATCATGACTCATCCTCTAGGAAGCTACAAAGAAACATGCAATTAAAATGTGACTGTAGGCAGTAGTGAGGAGACAGGTGAAAGCCACCGTGGTGAATTTTTTTTAATTGGACAACCTTTAGAAGGAGAGCCAAATCTGTACATTGTGTTTGTAGATGCAAGGCAAAGCTTGTCAAAAAAAAGAACACAATTTTTGGGATAACTTCAGTGAGGCTTGCCCTGAAGAGAACTGGTACCATTGTATGTGAAGAACATACAAACACATTTCCAGGGTTTATTCTCGGCTGAGAATAGGACAGTGAATATAATCTACTAATATTATGGCAGTTGCATCAGTATAGTTGGCATATCAGGTCCACATGGTCAGCCTTGGAACACAACAGCATTTGCAAAAAAGAAATATTTGTTTACAGCATTAATAAAAAAAGTTATTGCAAATATTTATACACTTCCAAAAAAGTAGATGGAGGATCTGTTTACAAAATACATTTTAACGAAAAACCCACACTGGCTGAATGAAGTGTTTACAGCTAAAGATGGTATTAGATGTTCAATTTGCAACACAGAAACACCAAAAATACCTAACCATCCAAACTACTTGTATCTGCTAGCATTGCTTTTAGCTTATAAACATCTGTGTTTCATTCTCCAGCTTTCTCCTACCTTGACGGCACAGATGAGCCGAGGTCGGAGTGGCCGTTGGTGCGAGTCTCGTCGTCGGGACAGGGGCTGCTGGGAGTGTAGTCTGGTTCCTCCCCCTCCCCGTAGTCCTCAAACTGCTCCTCGTTCAGAGAAGCCGAGGAACGCGTTGATAGGTCAGAGGTCACAGAGACACTAGTCTGACCACACCTGTAAAAAGTTGAGATTTTAAATATTTTTTTCCTTCTTTCTTTTTTCATAAATGCATATAGTTGTATTCGATTCTAATGAAAACATTTACTTGGATGAATAGAAATCCCTGACTGTAGGTGGCAAGGCAAAAATGAGCTACAGAGTGGAATCACTGAGGTGTCGCCCTACAAATGGATCCAACAGTGCTTACTTCTCCTCAGGTAAAAAAAGGTCTCCCAATGTGTCTTCCTTGTCTTCAAGTCGGGCAAGCCCCTCCGAGACGTCGGACCCCTGCGTGCTTTCCACAACACTATCTCTGTCCGATTCCCTGTCCTTGCACTCCGCGGCCACCTCCTCCTCGAGCTCCTCCGCCTCGCTGGGGAACGACTGGCACTCGGGGACGGGGTCAGGATTGGCCCGAGTGCACATGATGACCGGACAAACGTGCTCCTCCTCACCAGCCTGGAGAAGCATGAAGGTAAAGACAGACACTGTTATTGTAGTTGCAGGGACGCTGTATGGATCAATGAAGCTGAAACATGAACAATAATGCCTCTATGTATATGTATTTGTCTTCTTCATAAAACAGCCGATATTTGAATTTAAATAACAAAATAATTAATATTTAGATTTGGCCATGTAATCGTCACTTTTATTTATTTTTTGGGGATGTAAAAGTAAAAAAGGAGATTATTGTATGTTTAACCCCGGAAAAGTATTATAGAATAATCAATATTCCACTAGTCTAGACTGTAACAGGGATGGAAATAGAATGAACATCACATTTTTCCTCATTTCAATTGTTTACATACAGACTGGTGATTCATTGCCGAATATTATTTTCATTCAACAATCCACAGTCTAAACGACTTGTCTTTATCTTACTGTGACCTTGTTTTTTGCCGTTAAGGCATCAGTCATTGCTTACATTTGGCCTTTTCTGAATGTAAAAATACCATTTCCTTCAGCTACTTTCTCACGATTTGGCTGCACGTACTCATATCGCTTTGAAATTTTCAGAACTTTTGAAGATTCTATTTTTCCTAGCTTGACCTACATGCTTACCTCAACGTTCCCGTTTTGTTTACACTTTCTGCAAATTGTTGACATAAATTACACACACTCGATCCTTTAATAATGATAATAGTCTGTTGTTTGTTTTTTAATAGTTATGAGAATTTAAAAAATCCAGAAGATCCAGAAACCTAATCAAGACGATTTGATTTCTGTACACCTTCCAACGGGGCCAATCCTATCTTTTTGGAGCAAGGGGTCAGTGGAGTGTTTTCATTTTCACAGAACATTTTTAAAAAATGCTCACAGCATGACATTTAATGATGTGATGCAAATTTGGAAAAAGATAAGAAGCACTTGCAGAGAAAATGTGCATCAACAACAAACAAATATTTCAACCATTTGTTTTTTTACGTCTGATATATAAAGTGACTGACCATGGGCTATCCAAACAGCACAGTGCCATAGTGCTGAAACGTTTTATCCAGATTTCTTGCAAATGGAAATTTGTCAATGAAGCTGGTTTCCATAGTTTAATTTCCATGCATCCATTATCTAAAGCGCTTATTCTCAGTAGCGTCGCCGGGGGGCTGGAGCCTAGAACTAAACCATCTTACAATGTGCGAAAGGTTCACCACAGTAGTTTGAAATTCAAAAATAAATCAGAGAAAGTTTAATTGTAAATGCCAATAGAGGTGGATTGTCTACTTAGAGGATTCCTTCACTGAGGGAATGTCTCTAAACTCTCATAGAGGGGGTCTGGGAGAAGAGAAAAGAGGACAGGGTGACGAGTCAGAGGTCAGAGTCCCCCATTCTCTCTCTTTTCCCTCAAATGTTGCCTAACACAGCAGAGAGCATGGCTTAACTCAGCATGACTGAACAACTGAAGCACTTGAGAGCAATGCTGGGGGTGGGGATAAAGACAGCAGGAGGACTAGTATGGTTTTATGATGCCAAGCTGAAGAAACACACGCTTGTGAATGAAAAGAGGGCAGAAGCAAAAAAATAAAACAAAGGCTATGAAAAGGAATTACCGGTACAGTGTTTATGTGTGCATAAGAAGGGAGAGTGAGTGCTACAAAAACAATGGATGCAAGACAGGAAGAGCTATATCAAAAGTAGCCTCAGGAAAGTCAGATTAGCCTCTGACATCAGGGCAGACAAATGGACGATAAAAACGAATGAGACTGATGTTTCTTTTTCTCCGTCTCACTCTCACTCAAAGACAGCTGCTGTTTTTTTTCAAAGCACACATCTCAGTTTAAAGGGAGAATATTCCACCCAGCTGCAAAGCTATTTCCTATTCCATTTACGCTGTAAACCTGAAAGGGAGGGAGTAAATCAAATGTGGCCACAAAATGTTTCGATGAGCTTTTTTTTTTTTTTTAAGTATGTTCTAATGTGTTCGATAAAGAAACATTTGTTAGTTTCGGTTTGAAAACTAGCAAATTCAATAAGATGGTCAAAACATTTATTTAAAAAAAAAGAGAGATGAAGCTAAGATATTTTCTGCAAATATTTAAAGAGTAGTTGACTAGGTTACTGATCAGATAAAACACAGTTCATATTCATACAGAATATAAATGAAAAATTCTGCACGGCTGTGCTTAGTCACAAATGGCCAACATGGGCTCTGGATGGAGGCTGAGTCACAGAGAACCCAACAAAGGATTAAGGTCTCTTTAGCATTCCTGCCCTGCAGTTGGGGAAGAAACACAGCATGGGGCAAAAAAAAGAAAAAAAAGAGGCTGCCGTACAGGTTGGAAGAGAGTTTCATGACGGCCATTTCCTAAACATCAGCATTTTATATCATCCAATACAACGGGCATTCTGTTACATATTTTATGATTAGTAGCAGACATCTTGATGGAAGCAAAGACGTGGACATACAAAGCCTCTTATGTATGGGGCAGGATCTTTTTTCACATACTTAGAAAATTTAAAAAATCACTGTGAAGTGCACACCTTTGATTTAGAAACTGTTGATTTTTTTCAACAGCAGAACACTGCGCACAGAAGACTCTCCTGGGCAATTTGCAACTGGCAATGGCAAAGAGAGAAGTACAGATTTTCCAAAATCCCCTTGAATTTGTTTAATATCTTGACAAAATGGTTCTTTGTTTTGAGTAGAACATTAAAAAAATTTTGAAATAATTCCATACTTTTTTATATCATTGTGAATTTGTGGGATTTTGACACAGAAAAAAACCTGTTGATGGGGAACAGCACCTCCTAGATTCACCAATAACAATAGTCACAATATAGGTGCATTTTATTTATATAATTGCCAAACTAACAGGCTCCTCTCAGCTGCTTGATTCCCTTCGGAACAGAGAGCTAGACAGCGAAAGAGCATAACAATTATAGGTGTTGTGAAATTCAGCAATTTAGCCAAGAAATGCTGGACATTTTGGCAAAACTTATTTTCAACCACCATTAAGTGCCTGATCCAGTCAGGGAAATGAAAAAAGATAAGGCTATGTTTCAATATCCGGCGATTCCAATCTGAATTTGACTCCAATGAATCACTATTGCAGATATTAATCAAGAATAGTGTTTTTTAAATGTTAAAGTCCTTGTTATTCATGCAGCTCTTCTTTATATATTTGAGGTTAAAGCAAATACCAAAAAGAAAAATAATCTCTGTGAGTCTGTTGCTGAGGGGTCTGACCTAGTTAAAATACAACTCCCTGCTTCCTATTTTCCCAAGTGAGCCCCACGTTATTACACCAGAAAAGACAGACAGATAAAGACAGACTATGTTGCCTCTCCCCTTAGGTTCAAGTTTCATCGTGTTTGTAGTCGTCTTGAGTATAGATGGGTGTTATACAGTATCTGTGAGTATTATCTCCCTACAGCTCCCTTGCAGCCAACCCCAATTCCAGTTACCTCGTAGCATTTTTAAAGTGACCATCAACATCCTTTATCATGTTTGACTTCACCCCACATCACTGCTTTCTTTCATGTTGCTCCCACCATGCTGGAGGACATAAGATGAAATTAAAAGTTGGTCACCTTGAATATTTGATGTTACCACTGTCTGTCTGCTGAGGTTTTTCAGGTTGGGAAGCCATTGTGTGGCGTAGTTGCAAAGACAGAGCAAAGCATGAGGGATGAATGTGCATCCAGGCTCACGGGATGAAGAGCGAGTGAGGACATGCATTATTTACATCCACTGCAGCTGTGATGGAAATGAAAGCAGAGGGAAGGAGGAAAAGAAGGGCAAGGGCATGAAATCGAGAGCAGAGGATACTCATAACTTATGGAAAAGTGAGGAGAGGGGTGTCAAAGAGAGAAATGACTGGAAATAAGGCAGAAAAGGCACGTTTTATCCGTCTGTAAACTGCAGGGTGGTTTTCCAGCTGTGAATACGTTTAATTTCATGTAACCTGAATGCAAACCAAATCACACCATGCTTACACAATCATGAAAATCACAACACTTAGTCATGTGTTAACGCTTCAGCTGTTGAGAAACACCGTGGAAGATTACGATACGGACAATGATAAGCAAACGATGTTATTGTACAGCTGCTTTAATCTGCATTTCATCAGAATCAAATGTGTGTTGTGAAAAAGAGAGAACTGTAAGAGAACCGGAAGGAAGGAGAGACAAAACACTCATCCAGAGATGCATTGTATAGGAATTTGACTTCCTCGGTGAGAAACACATTTATGGTCAGCATGAATATCAAGCACACAGATGGAAAAAAAGGTATTTTTAAAATGTCAACAAATAGTGCCTCCTAAATAGGAAAGTCATTGTGGCTGTATTACGAAGTCAAAGAAAGAAAAAACAACAAAGAGATCATAAAAAGCAATATATAGCCTGATTTAAGATAGTGAAAATAACGTCACTAGCAACACTATTGACAAAAGTAAATCACCATCATAAAAACACACAGTCATACTGAGTACACAGAGTCAAGGCCTCAGAGGAGATATCAGAGCTAGCCAAAGAGCCAAGGAAACATACATCTGAAATGATCAAAACTGAAGAAAAGAATTTGGTTTCGTCTCAGCTAAACAGAAAAACATGGTCAGGGAGCGCGTTTTCCTCTGACCAAACATGGTCATGTCTCAAGCAAGTCATCAATAGTTAAAAGATAATAAAAAACAGAAAAAACCATGACATTTTGCAATCTAATCTTCCTCTCAGAGTTAGTCATAGAAAAGACATGGAACAGTGTGATCTTTGTGGGAAAAGGAAAATGTCCACTCAAGCAATCTCAACTTACCCAGAGGTGCAATTAATAATAGCGACTGACTAATGCCAAAATACAGGGGAAATATCAAGCCAGCAGGATATTAAGAGGTGGATTATCTGAATGAGACTTGAGTTCAGTTTCAGTGCTTATTGCAAGAGGAGTAAGTCTTGAAGTTGCATTGAAGCTGGCAGCAAGTCGATGCCTCCTGTAGGTGAGTGGGACCCCTATGTTCTACTATTGTTGTTCCCAAATG